ATAAGGGTTGGGCAACTGAATCTGGCCAGGCCAGAAGCATTCACGTGCGGAATTAACACGGAGGCTGGAGGTTGACCCACATGGGAGGACAACAGAGTCTGGGTTGCGGTAGGCCGCATCAACCTCCAGGCCATTGGCTGGCTCTGCCAGTCGAGTGCAAATCAACACCTGACCCGTTCGTTTCGATTCGATGCGTGACACAGACAACGGTCCTTTGCTGCAAGCTGGAAGTTTTTAGTTTTTTTTGACCCGTTGAACGGGTGCCCATGAAATCAGGGGGTCGGGACCAAAAACCCACACCTTGGAAGGGCGGAATTCCATGCCTAGGGACTGTCCCTTAACCTTCACCCACCTGAAGCGATTGTCATCAAGTCTCGAGGTCATTTGGAAGAGGTGGATGTCTTTCAACGTGCACATGTTCAAATTATTTTACCAGGAACACGTTTGCATCTATGACAGTTCTCAATGGCCACCACGACACTTATGAACAACCACTGATAGCATTATACATGATCGATGCTTGGCCCAGACCAATAGACCAATCTAAGATTAGGACAAGCAGCATTGTTCCTTAGACACAAATCATAGGCTTTGCAGGCGCGTTCACACAGTGTGCCTTCGGGGGTAGGGCCAACGCTAAATTCATGTTCAGGTTTAAAAAAAGGTTACCCCCCTAACCTCCAGTGTGTAAAGCTATTCCAAAATCACCTGCGGGTCCTGAATTTTGAGCCACGACCTGTGCTTGTCTTTCTGGTGCCCAATTTGATACCCTATACAGGGATCCTTACATTATACACCTTAACATTGCCTTGTACATGGTGATGTCCCTTTATTTTGGTGGAACAAGCCATGTTTCAAATGGGCAAGATGTATCTGTTAAGGAGCCCTGCTATATCCCTACAAATTGGCCTCGGGCAGGTCCGTCACTTGACTCGCAAACTCTCTTGCAGCACTTTGCAGCCTATGGCCTTCTCTCGAAGTGAATTATGCCCGGCAAGGCGTGCCCAAACAGGGCGGTTTTACTTAATGAATGCGTGTCCTGTCAAACAGGAGAAAGAAGCACATCTCAATCACCAGCACCCCCCAACCACTGTTGTACCCCCAGTGAACATCCCAATCCCCACTAAAATAGACTACAGCGGGTGCACCTATCCTAAAGTGGTACCAATGGTTTTGAACCATGGCCACATGGTTAAAACAGCAGTTGTTGGCATCCAGCTGCTGGCGACTTGGCCGGCCGGGCAATGAGCCGTCTGCTTTTTCGGTCTGCACCCGTTTCCATGCCATTTGGTCAAGGAAGCTATCTGTTTCTTGGGCTGGTTTACTGTACATGGACACAAAGAGGAAAGCCGAAGCCATTGTTGGGGGGCCCATCTGGGTGGCAAAGAGAGCTGTGAGCAAAGGACGATCTTGGCGGAGCTCTGAGGTACACCAACATGATTTATGTTCATATTTAGCCTATATTGCTGCGGGTCAAAAATAGGTACCCAAAATGGAAGGCTGGTAAATGGAACCAAAGACTAAAACCTGCGGTCCCCTAGTGGCTTAATTTTGACCCACACCCATATACTCTATGTCGTGATTTTTTCGGTGAATTCCACGGAAGGGTCAATGACAAAGCTATCTCCAGTCAGCTAAATCAAAGTGCGCCTGTCGAGCTTCTCCGGCTTGACTTGAGGGTCTTGCCACTCAAGGAAATCTCAAGGATCTCTGCGAAAGCACTGGAGCGTAGCGCCTGTGGCACTTGGCAGCGAGGTCTGTGTCAAGGAAAACCTCAATGAGCACTTGCTGATAATCCGATCGAAACTGTCCGGTGCACCCTACCTCAGGGGTCTGGGGGTCATCTTGGAATTCTAGCAGAATGAGCGCCAGCAACATGCAGTACATATTTTGCCAGATGCAGAATCCATCTGACTTTAGAACAAAGCCAGCGTCTAGAAGGCAGTGCAATCGACAAACTATAGCCCATGAAGTGCAATACTACTTGTATACAATGCAAAAACCATTGGTGCTAGGTTTAGCACTGGGTTTAAGCGCAACCTCTGTAAAGGTTGGCTCTTCATTTCAGTGACTGCATGGCCCTGACACATCATGCTGCCTGACTGGCTTTTGCGGGAATCCCAAATGCTAATCCGTAGTGGGACACCACTACAAAAAGGGCTCCGCTACCATGTGGCATCCGGATTTCGGATTGAACTTGAACAACCCAGCTCAGACTCTGACAGCAAGTTCATCAAAACAACTTGGCCTCTGTGTGTGTGTGTGTGCCCGCGTGATTGCTTCGACAGGACAAACAAAACGAGCTGCCGGGGAGCAACACTCTGCGGTACTGAAGGACTCAGAAGACATGATGTGGCTTCGCCGCTCCAAAGCCAGCGTGTTTCGGCTCGTGGTTGATCCTACTGCGAGCCACCAGTCCCTCGCAATGTATGCCTCTAATCTAAACCCAAATTGCTGGATATCGCGTTTCTCCAGCTTATCAACATACTCATGAAACACTGAGCCAACTGTGAGGCTACAACGCATGCGAATCATCTAGAAAAGTTTAACGCGTACGGATGGGGCACAACAAAACTAACCTGACGATTGCCGATGTGCAAACCCAGTTACATGGGTATGATGTCTAATTCAAGGACCTTGCGGACCTCATGTCCATGGGTATTTCAATTCACCAGCCAACCTTCCACCTGCGATGTTCCCACGTGTTCTCATCACAATTCAAAAAGCCACAGCCGCCAGGACACGCACCATGTCTTGGGTGCCCCTAAAAACTAAACAAACAACGCAAACACCTGGAGCTTTCCTGAGGCAAACACACACACACACACACACACACACACACACACACACACACACACACACACACACACACACACACACACACACACACACACACACACACACACACACCACATCCCCGATCCGAATCCCCCCCGCTGCCCCCATCTGCATCCCTTGGCCTGGGCGTGTTTTGGGTCCGCGAAGTGGCGCGTCGGCGCTCTGGCGGGCGAGAGAGGGAGAGAGAGAGAGAGCCCCTCTGCCCACGAGGAGAAATGGAGAATCGGGCTGTCCCAGCCGGTTCTTTGTTGCTTTCTTAAAGAAGTCCGGGTGTCATGTTTTTTGGGGGAAGCTCGGGTGTTAAAAACCGGGGTTCCCCAACAGGTGATATTTACAGCCAAACAGCCAAACAGGTGATATTTACTGCCCAAAGGACACTCTTCGGGATCCCTGAAGATTTTTCAAACAGATCAGGAGAGTGGCTCATCGTCATGGTAAGCACAAGTTCTATTTTGGTATCCACCAAGCTTGCCGGCATCCATTCTCGTAAGGGACTCTCGTGGATTTCGGATCCCCTTTGGTTGGTGTTGAAAGGGACACCAACAGAACACCTGCCCGGATTCAGAACCTCCTGGTTGATTAATAGGGGGTTCCCCCTTTTAGTGGGGGCTCATGGCTTTTACAGGGGAACAAACCCCATTTATAGGATGGATCTGTTCATCCGGGGTGCACAAGGTTTTGGGAGTTTGGTGTGCGAGTTTCCATCACTTCGCTGACTTGCAAGTCCTCCCTGGAAGTGCAGCGCCCATGCCTTGTTCGCGCGGCCTCAGCCAAATGACGACATGTTGCAACTCTGGCGATCGCTCGATCTGTCCAACAGCAACTTGACAAACAGATGCTCGACCCCAATCGCGCTGTTGACCCAGGATTAAACCCGTCCCGGGGTTAACACTGAGCAGCCCCCAAGATCTCCCACCGGCAATCACCGAGGATCTTCTCATCAGGTTCCTTCCGGCCGCACATCCAGCGGTTTTTGCTTGGAGGGCAAGGGGTCTGCGAAGCCAAAGGCACAACATGGGCGCGTCTGAGCTGCCGCACGCATTCGTGGCAGCCTGAGCTGTGAGGAAGATGAAAGAGCAATCAGGGGCGAGGGGTGTGTGCTTTCTCAAAGGAAAAAAGGACTTACACATGAAATTTCGGGGTCACATCGGGTCACCCCCTCCTCCGCCCTTCTCCCAATTTCGTGAGTGCGGCAAGACTTGCACGCCAGCTCTCGCTTTACGTGCCCTGAGCTCGCCATCTCGGCGGATCCGTCGATCGCTCAGGCCGCGGCCCGCGGCGAATGACTGGCGGCGGATTTCGCCCCACCGTGTGGACCCAAACATAGGTGTCCTTTTAGGGCAAATGCATGGCCCTGGTGTCCTAGAAGAAATAGATCGGTTTCCCTGGTAGATGATGCAACCACCAGGTAAACCAGGAATCGCCATCTGTTTGTTTCTAGCAAAACAACCAACAAAAAGGACACCTATAAGTCGAATGTTGACCCCATATTCATCAACCCCTGTTTATTAGTAGGGTGTCCCTGGGTTTTGTGGGGAATCATCACTTCTGGAGGGGAACACTCCCCTGTTAATAAGCAGCCTAACTTCGGGGTGGAACTAGAATCTCATGTCTAAGGCCTGACTTCCCCATTATGTTCACCCATCCTTCCTTTCACAAATAGGCTTTGGGCGGTTTTCTGAAAACAGCTTTGCGAATATAGATGGGGCGTGGCAGCTCGAGGCATTCCTGCAACTTGCTTTTAGCCTTGGATCAATGGAAACACTGCTATGTTCAGCCAACTTGCAGCAAGGATTTCCTCATGATAAATTGAAGATGGGACGTCGATCCAATTTTGCGAAACTGGACACCTGAGACCCCAACCCAGTTGTCAATCACCGCACTTAGCAGCGTGACAAAGGGAACCATATTGGCTCATATGTCCAGCCACGAGACAGGCAAAATGATTCCTGACAGAAATCTGGTCAGTCGAAGTGAAACGCTTGAAACGCCCAGCTTTTGGTCTCTCTCGCCCTTTGCAAGGGGACTTTGCCCGCCCAAAATTGCAACATGAGAGCGGCGAGATCTTCGGCTGTCATGATCTTTGAATTGGCACTTCGATGCGGGAAGCGTGCCTGTGTCTGTCTTAACTGTCCTCGGTTTTCCCATCAGTTTCTCTGTAACACCAACAAAACAAGGGGGTACCTTGCGAAAAACGAGGACCGCCCCCCGCGAGTCCGTGCCGTCGTTCCAAAGCTCTCAGCTCAGCTGAGCCAAAAGAGCGCCAGCGGCAACAGCGCAGCCACCGAAGCGCGCAGGGCCGAGGATTTCTTCAAGTCGAGGCCGGCTTTGGCAGCTGTGGAGTACAGGCCATTCACTACCTGACCAGGCAAACCGCTTTTGATTGAGCTCCAAGCGGGAGTCTTGTTGTTTTTGGAAACCCCAATTTGGGCTTGAAACAGGAAATTGGAAAACGTGGGTATTGGACAAGTGGGAATTGGAGCAAGCAATCGGTGCATGAACCGGTGCGTCTGATTTTGGCGTGGACATGGGGGGTTACAACTGCAATTGGGGCATGTGATGGTGCCTGAGTTGGAAATTGAATTGGACATGGACACTGGCAACGTTGTGATTTTGTTGTATTCAGAACACATTGGGCATGACATTTAATTGGACATGGCCCCTGGACATCCTGAATGGTGGAGTTGCGTCCAACCTAGCCCCATTGCCAGGTTGGTCCTCAGCAAAGGCGCTTTGTCTTCATCTTCGCAGGAGGGCAGGAAGAATGATAAGGACCCTGTTTTTGGTCGTTGACCTTTTAAACTTTAGCCCAGCAAACAATGCGTTTGGGGGCGGGGGGTCGCAAAGACGAATGGAGAGCAGGCCAATCTCGAGCCGGAACCTAACTCAGCTGTTGATAGCGATTCCCCCTTCAGAGGTTTGCAAATGTTCAACCCATTCCCTCGTCAGAACAAAGCTCGGGCAATAAGAGGTAGCTTTTGACACTGCCGTTGAAACTTGAGAGATGAGATAAGGAATCCACAGATCCGTGCGCTGTTCCCCCCCTTTTCAAATCATCGTGACCAAGGGTAGCTGTCAATCGGTTTGATTCGCTGGGCCAACCTGGACTAAAGCCAAAAACGGAGATGCACTACTGCAGATCAACATGATGCAAAGGCCATTCTTTGGGAGGAGCTCCTTTGCCCTATGTTGGACAACCCGAAATCTGTGATACAATATTGCCCATTTCCGTTGACTCTGGCAAGGGGATGGTCTGGTAAGAAATGGCCCTATGCACCAGGACTCAAAAGCTCGTGACCACCGACACCTCAAGATTGATCCTGGAATCTTGAAAGCTGCTTTGAAATCAGGAGCACGTTTCACTCACTTCCTGAGTGGACTGGCTGCAAAAAGTCTGAACTTCCATTTACCACCAAAATGGCCTTTCCGAAAAGTGTCAAGTCCAGGAACTCAAGAAGTGAGTTCATGGGCAAGAATGGTCCGGTGTTGCTGGGAGCATCTTCTCGACCCAACAATTTTGCACATCCCGACAATGGGTTCACCTTTAGTTCATGTTCAGGCTCCTTCCTGGAAAATTCAGTGTCTGTGCCCTCGCACTTGAAACAACAGCTAGTTACTAGGTTTGAATTCAATAAAAACAAACCTCCGTCAGTCCCATCATTAAAAAGCGGCAAGTGACGAGAGACCATCCGGAGGCCACCCGGCAACTCCAAACAGAAAGCAGTGCCCATGGACTTGTATCACAGACGATATGGTGGTGTCCTTGTTTGAGGCATCCCTTGTTGGGATTTATATGGTGAGTTCAAGGGAAACCACCCATTTTGAGTCCCATATTTTGAGACACACAGATATAACTAACAGTACTAACATTGATAACATCCATCGTGGAGTGGAGGCAGGCGCGGTTTGCAGGTTCAATGTGATGGCTGATTCGACTGGCCAACTCTTCAACAAGCGCACCAAAGCTTCAATCCATGAAGCCCAAGCCCGGCTTCATCCCATGACGGGTTTTGTGCACATCTCGAGTCTCACGAATTCAGGCCCAATGTGAAGGTGGAAAGCAGTTTGATATGTCAAAAAGAGAAACAGGGAAACACATGCACACAAACACAAACACACACAGACACACGCACACAGACACAGACACACAGACACAGACACACAGACACACAAACACACCCACACGCACACGCACACGCGCACGCGCACGCGCACGCGCACGCGCACGCGCACGCGCACGCGCACGCACGCACGCACGCACCCACCCACACACACACACACACACACCCACACCCACACCCACACACACGCACACGCACGCACGCACGCACGCACGCACGCACGCACGCACGCACGCACGCACGCACCCACACACACACACACTTATCTCGAGAGGCTTCACTAGCCGAGATGAAAACGCTGGAAAAAACCTGCAACTGCTGAAATTGCTTGACAGGTCACAATGCAGAACAGAAACCGGGAAGCAACAGCGAACAGGACAGTAAAACAGTCAGGAAAAAAACAGTCAGGAAAAAAGAAGGAAAGGCAGGTACACACGGGTGATCAATCCGTGCGTCCACCATCAAGCATAGCTTCATTGGCCAGCGTTTGCTTGATGGCCGCTGGCCCCCTGCTCAAAAAAGGCTCCGAAGGGTTTAACGTCCGTGTTCCAGGACGGTTCACACACACAAGGCCAGGGACGGGGCGCACTCATTTGTGCAAGGCCCATTGAGTCTTGCAATCCTCAAGCGTGCGGGATAGTCGCGTGGCGGTGACAAACCATGCATGCTTGGCCTTGGTATTGGTCTTGAGCGAACGGAGGAGATCAATCTCCTCCTCAGTCCAGGGCTGCGGGGTTTCGAATTCAGCCTCAGTAGCGGCGTCAGTCCCGGTCGATGGGGAAGGTGCGCGTTGTCTATGAGTAGTCCTGGATGCCATAGAGCATGAGGAGTTCGTGTCACGAGCGCGACGAGCTCGCTTCTTGTCAGGAGGAGAAGGTGGAGCCCAATGGTCGGGAAATTGTTCACCGTGATCTTCGGGAAATTGTTCACCGTGATCTTCGGGAGGGGGGAGAAGAGGTGTTGGCGGTGAATTGGTTAAGTCCTCCACAGCGAGAGTCGATGGGGCTTCAGGCGCGAAGTGCGGACTCTCAGTGAACTCGCGAATGGTGGCGATGCCTTGCTGGGCAATGCCGAGGATGAGTTCAAAGTCTTGGAGCAGCTGGCGTGCTGTGTCAAGATCCATGGTCGCAAAAGATTGTGTGTCAAACGGCTGCAGCTTGGAAACAGGTCATGTGAGAATTAAGAGTAAAAAGTGGGTCCTGTCGCAAACAGTTGCGAAAGAGAAGGCCGGCGCGTTTTCTCTTTCTGCAAGGTGAAACCGTGTTGGTGGTACAACTTCATCAACACTGCGAGATCGTGATCTCTCTGAAACTCAGGAAAGGAAACCCGGCTGATCAGCGCACGTCTGGAGTGATATCCAGCTTCCTCGTGCAGCATTGGTGCGGCTGACTTAATGGACAGCATGTTGTGCGGATGAAAGAGATGGTGCCGCGCTCAAAGTCCGTCGAAAACCCAAGAAATCCAGGGCGGTCTCTGTTTCCAGAAGGATGTCTCCTCCGTAGACATGTTCGTCACACACGATGTGGGCTGCCGGAGTCGAAAACCACCTGGGGGTTGCGACCACGAGCCTGTTGTCCACATAGCGGAGCAGGAGGGTGTCCTTAAAAGAGCGAGGTCCCGAAGTAGGATGGGTGTTGGCCCAGATTTGCTCGGCGACTGCAATCACCATCAGGCATAGTGCAGGAGATGCGGGGGATCCCATCGGGGCCCCGCGTGTTTGCCTGAAGGAACGGAAGCCGACAGAAAAGATCTGCATGTCAAGGGTAGCTTGAATGATTTCGGGGATGTCGTCAAGCCACAAAGTGCGTTGTGCTGGCTTGTGTCGGCGGCGGCGCCCGTTGTAGACACGGGTGGTGGATAAGGTGTCAAGTGTGTCCACTGTGAGGTGTGTGGTGGTGGAGTGTGGTTGCCGCTGTCGGTACCAAGTCAAAAGTAGAAGCCAGGCCGCCAGGAAGCGGTCTTTGTCAATGGAAGTGAAGAAACCAGAAAGGTCCTGGTCTCGGCAGTCCAAAGGGATGTGGCCGCGGCAAAGAAATTCATGCAAAGACCGCATGAGGTCGAAGAGATCGCCACCCGAAAATGCGTCTGGGCAAGCCGTGGTAACCATGCTGTGGAGCAGTTTGGCAAGAGCGTCAAGCATGGGTCTGAAGAAAGCGCCGACGAAGCTGATGATGGGTCGGGCAGTGGTCCAGTTTTTCTTCCTCTTGGGGAGGATGTAGGCGGTAGCTGGTCGTCCGAAGCCGGTGACGTAGCGAGTGCGAAATCTGCTTACGATGCTTTCCCGTTGCCGTTGATGGATCTCAATGGAGGGGACTGGTAACGGAGCAAAGATGGCGGGATCCGAAAAAGTGGCATCCAGCATCTTGCCGTACACCACGGGGCAGTAGAGCATGAGTCGGGAGCCCGCGTGATCTTCGCAATGGCGGACGAGGGGCTCCAGGGTTGTTAGTGCATGTTGGACTTGAGCGTGTTGAAAGTACTGTTGTGTGTGTGGAAGGTGTAGGTCGAAGTGGAAGTCGACAATAGTGGAGAGGGTTGATGGATCGAGAAGGGGCAGGTTGTTGGTCGTGGCCCAGTGGTGGAAAGCCTGAATCAGGCGATTCATCAAGATCCCGCGCGGAGGAAAGAAAGAGTTGCGCATCGAGCCAGAGAGCATGCTGACTGTGTCGGGGTCAAACAACTCGTGGGAGTCAGAGCCGGAAAAAAGAAGGTGTCCCTCATGCTTCGGGAGGGATGGGTGCCGTTCAGGCCGGTGCATGTGCATGAGAGCTCGCCAAGGCTCCAGGCTTGAGCTGCCTGGAGGTGTGAAAAAAAGGCACTGGATAGCTTCCGGTGTGCCTTGAAAACGATGCGTGGTTGCGCCACATGAAAAGGCAGAGCGCTGCGGGTGGTGGATCTGACGAACTCGCGGAGTTGGGCCAAAAGCAAAGTCCGAAAAGTGGGATGTGCGAAAAATCGTAGGACATGCGGCGCACCCGATCCGGGGTCGTGCCGTGCGCAAGCATGACGGCATGGTGGGAAGCGATGCCGGACCCGGCTTCCGGGTCCCCGCCAGCGACCGGCCACGGATGTGGTCGGGGGAACCAAGTAGTTGCGAACACCATGCCTTGCGATTCTCGTCCAAGGAGGTGGTAGAAGCTGGCTTCAAATGGAATGGGGTCGGCCATGTCCATGGTGCGCAGTTCTGATTAAAAGGGCCTTGGTTTGTTAAATTTTGGGGAGCGGTCCAGCTCCCCCAGATGTGATGGGCTCGGTGGGTCTTGGTCCTCGGTGCCATCCAGGGAAGGAGCCGGGTTGGGAGGGGGTGTGGGGCGCGCTGCGGCAGGTGCAGGGAAAGGGGGCATGCTGGTGTTGTTGCGGCCGGCCCGGGATGAGGAGCGCGGCTGCTGCCATGACTGCTGCTGTTGCCAGGACTGTAGCTTGCCCTGATTGCTCCAGTTGCCTGAGTTGCTGGTGCTGTGGCTGTGCTTGCCCCAGCTGTGTGTGCTGTGGCCTTGTGGTGCGTGTCCCCACGATTGGTTCCGCCGGCGTGAGGAGGACTTTTGAGACTTGTCGGTGTCCCATCCGGAAGAGTGCCAGGAAGTGGAGCCGTGGGAGGCGTGGGTGTCCGGAGCTCGCTGCGGGTCCTTGGTCCTGGGCAGGGGATTGTCGTTGGGGGGAACTGCGCCGAGGGGAGCGTGAGCGGAGGGAAATGGGGGTGTGGTGAGATCTCCTGGAACGGTGGCGGGGGTGTGAGGGGGAAGTTGACCGGCTGGAGCGGCGTGCTCGCCGGGTGGTGCGTCGCCGTGGCGACTTGTCATGTGCCCGGTGGTGACTGGTGCGGGAGTGTGAGTGGTGGCGCCGTCTGCGGCGGGAACGGGATCCGCGGTAGTGGGGTGGTGTTTGGGTGTCAGTGGGAGTCGGGTTGGTCGAGGAAGCGGCTGCGGGAGTCGTAGCAGCTGCAGCGGCGGCGCGGGCCGACTGAGGCTCGGGCAACGAAGATGTCATGCTGCTCTGAGCCGTGAAGAGCATCAGGGTGCCGGATGTCGCATTTCCAAAGTTCGGAAGGCCGCCATGGGGCATCATGGACATCGGGTTGCGCCACCATAGGGCATCATGGAAAACGGTACCAAGGTCGTGGCCTGTGGGGAGGGCGAAGGGATTGGGCTTGTGGGCTGCATCATCTGGGGTGACAGCTGTAGATTCGGCCCAGCACTGCCTGGTGTGCCGGACATGGTGCCGGTCGCGATGCTTTGCAGGAGCGAATGCATCATGTCATAGAGCTGGTTTCCAGCCATCTCAAGAGGGAGAGAGAGGGTTGGAAAGGGGTGGAAACACAAGCGACTACGGAATTCAGTCAAGACCTGGACCTTGAAAATGCTGCCTTGTCGATCCAATTCATGTCAAAGCAAGGCATCGCATCAAGGCATCGCATGAACGTGAAAGTGAATTGAACTGATCTGAGTCAGCGCAGAGCGTGAATCAATGAACTGCAAAGTCGGTGTCTGACCGGCTTGTCACTCGCGCATGAAGCTGCCGGAGCCTGATACCTCATGAGAGCTGCCTTGTTCAAAATGCAGGCAGCGCAATGCGAATGCGAATGGTACCTCACCTGCAAATTCGCTGCCTTGATCATGGTCAATCGCGCTGAACTGCAGCTTGAATTTGAACGTATGAACGGTCTTCCCCTCGCAGGGGGCTCCCGCATGTGGCGAGTCCAGCCCACAGCGCCATGTTGGACAGGCCGTGGGTAAACACACTTATCTCGAGAGGCTTCACTAGCCGAGATGAAAACGCTGGAAAAAACCTGCAACTGCTGAAATTGCTTGACAGGTCACAATGCAGAACAGAAACCGGGAAGCAACAGCGAACAGGACAGTAAAACAGTCAGGAAAAAAGAAGGAAAGGCAGGTACACACGGGTGATCAATCCGTGCATCCACCATCAAGCATAGCTTCATTGGCCAGCGTTTGCTTGATGGCCGCTGGCCCCCTGCTCAAAAAAGGCTCCGAAGGGTTTAACGTCCGTGTGCCAGGACGGTTCACACACACACACACGCGCGCGCGCGGGCGTCTTTTTTGGGAGAACCCCCAAATTTGTGGATTTCCTTTTGGTGTCCCTTCAAACCAACCCAAAATGAGGTACCCTCAACAAAGACACACCCACACAGCAAGCATGAATGCTGACATCCTCACAGCGCCGCCAAAGCTTCCGATCTATTTGCCCAACACGGAAGTCGCCGTTTCGTTTGACGCATCGAACACGAAAGGCTCGTGGTTTGATCCACGCCTCAGCGCCGACATCTGCCAGGGGCGACAACTGCTCCACCGCCTTTGCCTGGACGCCCTGCGCAAAATGGCCGAACTCTCGTCACGAGTCAGAGCGACGCGAGGAAGTGCGGACTTTGCCAGCTGACTAGGTGCCAAGGCCAGGTAAGCCACAGCCACCGCTCTTTGTTCCCCCAAACCACATTCATGATAATCTGCGATTTGGTTCCTTAAGATTGCGAAAGTCCGCTTCACTGCAGTGGAACACGATGACAACTATTGCCCTATACCCATGTATAAATGCAAAGGGCACAATCGATTGAGTTGTGAGTCAGAAGGATGGCTATACAGCTTCAACAGGCTGAACAAAAGAGACTGAACCGTCAATGTCATGATGCAGCCCATAATGTACCCCGGCTCAAGCTTTTAGGACCAACCACATGTCAGTCACTAGCAAGCACACACACACAAATGTGTACATACCATCCACTCAACCAGTTTCGGGGTAAAGGAGCACACGACTGAACTGACCTTGAACATCGTGGTCACATTGGCGACGAGGTCTTTCGGCAAGTGCTCTTGCGCCGCCTCGCACGACCGAACCGAAATACGGCCAAGGGTCATCTGAGACATCGGCCCAGTGCGAGCATCACTTAGATACTTGATACTGGTAAGGTTTCAATACTGGCATGCTAGAATTTTCAAAATGTGTCCAACAATCATCCTGGCATTCTCCAACAATTGCAAATGTAAAGCATCAACTCACATGCACATCACGGTGTCCATCACAAACTCAAGACACCTTTTGATATACCCGCTCAATTTACGGCCCGGTTGGCTCTCGGCTTCTCAGATTTGCGTGCCACCAGCTTCAGAAACTTTACCCAGTGCTCACAACGTGAGCCAGCGAGCAAACTCTGCTATCCACTAAGGCAAATGGAATTATCGCTGGTTCGCAAGCATTGCTAAGTTCTGAGTGAGACGTGGCTAGCTAGAGGAATCACAAATCCAACAGGCGATGTTGCTGCTGCTGCTGCTGCTGCTGCTGCTGCTGCTGCTGCTGCTGCTGCTGCTGCTGCTGCTGCTGCTGCTGCTGCTGCTGCTGCTGCGTAACTTGTGTTGTTTGCTTATGTTGGATTCTGAAAAAAGTACTACCAGCAAAACGTGAACACAGTTTTGAGAGATCGCTCAAGCTACGCCAGCGATGGAATTGAAGGTTTGAAGCAAGTAGATAGGCGTCTTGGGGCCGGCCTGACTATCAACACAATCATAGCCACCACGCCAGGGTTCCTTGAAGGATACATATTACAAAGCAAGCTGCTTCACAAAGGCCGCAATGTACCACCGCATCAAATATGATCCACGTGCATTCAAGGCTGACTACTCGCTACCAAGTTGGACTGTCTGGGACGCACACTGGCTGACACGACTCGAGCTGTGAGCGCAGCTGACCCAAACAACAACAAAGTAAGACTACATATGTAACTAGATCCATAAATTGTCTTACATTGTGCAGCAAAGAAAGGGTTCCAACAAAACATGCGTGTCCCCTGTAGAGTATCTTTTTCGTGTCCCCTTTGAGTTTGGGGCTCAGGGGTTGGAACACGGGTGGGTTTGGCATTGGGCTTCGTGGCTGTCCTGGCTTCCCTCTAAACCATCCCAAGGCTTCGGACGACGTTCCTTTATTGGGGTACAGGGATTGACTGACCCATGAGAAAAAATGTGCCCCTACTTTCACTCCACTGCATTCAAAAGCAAAAAACAAAAGCACACTCAGAAGTTACTTGGGCTTGCCTCTTTTTGATGGACCCCTCAAGATGAGTGCAAACAATCCGAAAAGGGCCTGCTGTTTGCTGTTTCTTTGGGCAAAGTCATAAACTCATCCCCTTCCAAAGGCTGCCTCCACGCCGGCATCCACGAAGTTGCCCAGGGCGTCTTGAGTCTGGAGAGGCCCAACGGAGCCGTTTTTTGGGCCCAAAACAAAGAGGTACGGAGGTCGCAAAGCAGCTTTGTCATGGGGGCTGGGGAAGAGGGAGGGGAGGGGCAGGGAGCCCAAATAAGCTCTAAATAAGCCCCATGACCTTGGGGGGGACTCCTTTTTGGTTGAACAGACTTTTGGTTTACTTCACAAAACAAAGGTCTGGTTGCTCAAACATATACCCGAAAAGGCGTGTTCTGGGTGAGAGTTGCTTTGCTGGTTCTGATTCATTGAAGAAGATCCCATTGCGGCGTGTGCAGAATCATTGGGGACGAACTCAGCCTGCAACATGTACGGCACGCTGTAAAACCCATCTCAAAGACCCATGGCAAAGTCTACTCAACCATCAAGAAAACCAAACCCGAGAGCCAACCAACGAATATGACCAGTCGTGGAAATTGGATAGCCGCACTCGCAGTGGAGTGCATTGCGCTGCTCTCCGTTTGGGTGACCCATGGGTTCCTTTCGTTTGCGGACGGAACCCGTGTGGTAGAACCCGTTGCAGCTTAGAGTTCCTTGACTCCAAAACAGGGCCTCGGGAAGTTGGGCCCGAAACACGGATTTCAATTTTCTTTTGGCTTCCCTTGTCAAACCGCACTATAAAAGGGAAACCCGAACGCGCACGCAAGCACGCGCACACACACACACAACACGCACACAAACCACACACACACAGACACACACACGCACGAACCACACACACACGGGCCTGTGTCAAATTAGGCAACCTCCAAAAAGAGTATTTGGGAGCCACTTTCTTGTAAACCAACCTAAAACCGATGCGCCTTAGAAGCCACGGACTTGAGATTGTCTGCGGCGTCGCTCAGGTCTGCAAGGGGCCTGCGACGTCTCGTCGACATGCGAAAAGCCGAGAATCAAACGAAGACATGGGGGGACGGGGGGGGGGGGTTCTCAAAACTGACTTTGTATGGTTTAAAGGGGGGCCACAAAAGAAAAAAACCATCATCATTACACCATTTTGTTGGGTCTAAGTGTTTTGAGATCCATGGTCACCAACTCCGAATCTGGTCATGGTTTGCCTAGGACCCTTTACATTGGTTGACTACAATCCCTACGACGGGGGTTGACGACCGGCTGGTTGGTATTTCACTAGGGTAAATGTGCCTAGCACCGGCTCCAGATTCTATTCAAAGCCATATGTGAGGGAGACACGGCGAAAGCGACAAACCCATGACCATGGAGCCAATTCAATTGCCGACATCATATCGATAGCCATGTTTCTTCCATGCCACGGAAGAGCGCTGGAAACCCTCCCTTGTCAAAGTCTAAGGGTTTTCGGAATATACCCCATGGGTATTGACACCATTTAGGCACATATCCCAGGGTGTAATACAAAAACCCTGAGACAAAGGGGTCAAACCGTGCAAGCTAAAGACAGGACTTCAGAGCCTCTGCAAGGCATCAGAGAGATCCGCGAGCTCCTTCTGAGGATCGATCTGCAAGGCCTCAGCTTTTCGATCTGAACCACAACATGCCAGATTTCCCAAGTTCACCAAACTGTCAGCTGTTCATCAAAACTGTTAAATTATGATTATCCATGAGATCCCGAATGCATATGCCGCATGACGTTTCATGCAGAACCCATCATCCAAAAAGTTGCAGCATGCAACACCAGCTTATGTTTCGCATGGGCTTTGAGTCACAGACCAAAGCAATCCAAGGATGGTATGTGTGTGTGGTTGCTTTCTTTGGGTAATCAGCTCAAAGATCGCTCTGGGACGCTTTCTCATTCCGATTTTGCAAGATGAGCCCTTGACTGACTCTTTAAAGTATAGTAAAAACTGTTCTGGAATATTTGACTTCGGGGTGGGCCAGAAAGGCAAATCACAAATTCATGGACTTGCACTCGGTCCTGCGCGGCCGTCAAGCCTCCCAATCATTGGTGTATAATTAACTGCGAATGTTCGGGCCCTTGGGGCCCAACTTGTGATAAACATCCACGCTTTCCTATGCAGGCGCTCGTAGCTCCGTCCTGTAAATCTCGATGGTTCCAACTTCCGACTGCATCGACGTACTTATCTGTTTTGACAGCGCAAAGCGGAAGGCACGCATGGGATCATGTGTCGGAACACAAAAGGCCCAGAAAACTGGATCAAAGGCGACATTGCTTTCCCCAAAGCGAGAAACAGCACGATATGCGCCCATCCTGCTGATAGCTGATCCGGCCGTGGTTTACTATACATGCTGGCAGCACCTTGCCCCAGGAAGAGACTGGATAGCTCATTGAACCAATGACCGTCGAGTCCAAATCCAGGGCACCAAAAACGGGTCTAAACGCTAGAGCTGGTGTTGCGGGGTCCCAAAAGCCAAGCTGAGTGATGACCATAGGGAAACAAGATTAGAAATTATTCAGCCCTTATATAGGTACGTATGTGTCAAAGTGGGGATGCCCCTCAAAATGAATTTTGACATTCCTTTGGTTTTGCTTCAAGCCCACCTCGAAAAGGAGCCCCCGAGCCGCAACGCCACAGCCCCGTATTCCACGGCGGAGATGCGATCATCGTGGCGTTGGTGCCGTTGGTGCCGTTGGTTGCGTTAGCGGGGTTGCCCTAGAGATGAGGCTGGGTTTCTGGCAGGAAAGCTAAAGGAAACCGAACCGATCTTCGACCCAGTTTGTCAAAATGAATAAAGCGGCAGCAGGCTAACCTCCGGATGTGTGTTTTCTGAATCCTCCTGGAAGTGGACAAAGATGGACAGACTCCAACTGTGCCGATGAATCGAAATGTGCCCTCGAGCGGTCTGTGCAGGTCAGTGCTCCTACAAGACAGGCCGTGCACCTCATATCTGATTGTTGACTTCTGAGAACTTTCTCCGCACACGCACACGTGACAAAATGTTGGACCCGTTTTGGTTGGCATGTAAAGGAAACCAAAAGGAAAGCAACCATTTTAGGGGACCCCTAGTTTGAGAAACCTGTATAAATGTGTATAACCATATACAGAATATATGCGCAGCCGAGCCCCCGCATCTAAGTAAAGGAGAGGTATGGGCTTAAATCACCGACTTGGACACGCATGGATCACCTCATCGGCTCAGAGAAGGGGGGGGTGGGGCGGGAACCAGCGACTGACTTGGCTTGAGAAACTGCGCAGACAATCAATGAACCGCTGTGACCGTTTGGCAGTATCGGTGGCTTGGAACAAGATGAGCAGAAGCCAGTTGCTATTCTCACTTCAGTGGATTGAGCTTGCTTCTTACCTCCGTTCCCTGGTTTGGACCAAGAAATAGAAGGTGGTCACATTTTGGGGCCACTCAGAACGGACCAAAACCGGAAAACCGAAAGGTCAGATCCGGTCAATCATTAGCTTGGCCCGGGTACCACTTTCGATTATTTCCATGTGTTCCGTTTTTATGCCCTATGGTACCAGTTCAACGCCCCAAGGACAGGTAAGTCCCTGGCTCATATTTCAACCTTTTAAGGTTCCATTTCATATTTTCTGAGACCCTCCCCCAAGGGGTCCTGCGCAAAGTTGCCCAGCACGGCTTTCCTCAGATGCGGTTGCAACCTAAGAGCGCCTATCTCATCGTCTGAGCTTGTTCCAACCATAACGAATTGCTCGATCAAACTTAGCGCAGAGGCGCCATCAAAACTCCAGGTGGGCATGGCGATTGACAGAATCAGAGCCCTTGAAATGGATGTTTACCCAAGGGGCTGACGGCTTTTCTGACCATTACACATACTAAGTGGGCTTATGCATCTGAATATCTAGCTCTAGCTCTGGAAGAGGTTGCAGTGATATCAAAGTAATACACATGACCAACGCAAGCAGTGTTTCACTTGGGTACTCAAGGCAACACATATCTAGGCTCTCAGTGAACCACGCCAGCCCTGCAGCTGCGGTTTAACCCCCTTGGGTGCAAATCTTCCTGACGGCTCCACTCAGAAAGCGGACACCAATGCTACTTGGGGCGCATTTTGCTGCCATTTGAGCTATGGTCAAAACTTCCCACGCGGGTTTTGTCATAGATATTTGCATAGAACCCCTTGCAATGTTTGCCCAACCCCAAATAAGGGGATTTGATTTACGAGCATCCCTGCACACCCCAAGCAAAGGAACCGGCCTCTTGACCACGCACGCTTCTCTATAAACCAACCTCCTTCCTATAAACGCGCCCAGTTGTGCAGTGACCCTTGTAGAAAAGGCCTTGAGCATTTTAGAGGGGATCCCACCAAACAAACGGGCCAAAAGGGTGGGATCCAGTGGCGCGGCGCAAACCTTCTTATGGGGTCCTCTTGCCGCTGATGGTGTGAGCTTTTCGAAGCTCAATCGAGGCTCATTCTGGCTTTGCAATCACCATCCTTCAAGCAATTCACGGCTAAGACAAGCTCTTCACATAGCCTCCGCCAGGCAAACATGGAAGCTCCCAGGACCCCTTTGGAAGACTTGGTTCCGTTACAGAGACCCTCTTGGAACTTTCATATTAGTCTGAGGGAGTGTAGCCATTTGCAAATAGCCATGGGTCAAAATCCCGTACCCCCAGTGAACATCCCAATCCCCACTAAAATAGACTAAAATGGGTGGTGCACCTACCCACAATGGTACGATTGGTTTGACCCACAGCCAAATAACCTTAGCACACGACTCAGGTGGCCCTGGCGATCCCAGAAATGTCTCGAACTCCTGCGCTCCGAGCGGCAGCTGCTGCGTCATCTCCTGGCTGGGACCCGTTCCGGCACTGGAAAGCACCAGGCCCCGGGGCTCACGAATGGCACCGTCCAATTCCAAGACCTCAACTAAGACTCGGATGCCCGAGCAAAATACTGAAAACATGGTGAGCTCGGTTTACCAGGTGCAAAGCCGCCATAATGTTGACCTCAAATATTTAGAAACCCCAGAACCCGGAACGTAGTTGGAAACCCCTCCGTTGCCAATCCGTCTCGGCCAAGGACATCCGGGAATACAAAAAGAGTATTGAACGAAGCCGCTGACCAACAGCCATGTCAGGAATCTCCGATCCGCCGAAGTTTCACAGAAAAAGGGCCCCCCGCCCTATGACCTTGGGGGTGGGGGTTTGGGCAGGGGGGTTCGAAGAGGCAGACATAGGCAGATTTGACGGATATCGTCCTGCAGGGACTTCTGCCAGTTGGATGCCAGATCGAGGGCAGACTCCATCGCCTTGTCCAAGCTCAAGGCTGCCTTCTTCCTTGGGCAAGCGCGCAGGTATGTGCCGTCCCTTTGCCTCGGGGCCTAGGCACCTCCCAACTATGGACAAATCTTTTTTTTTTGCGCAAACGCAAAAACTGATCAGGATAGCCGAAACAGAGCGCACAGGAGTGTTCTGCAGTGACTTCTCTGCGATTGAACCACGCTTGGACAGTGAGGATCCTTTCTGTCGGGCATGATTGGCGAGCCATGAGACGAATCTCGGATTACCAGCTTTTCCCAACTTCCCGAAGGGCAGGCTGCGTGGGTGGCGCCGCCGCACTCGCACCATATTCAGATTCGAGCGCCTGAACCCACTTTTTGGCTTGTACGCACAAACCATGTCCAAATACATGCGTTTACCCTAAAAGAACATGAGACACGTAGTGAGACCCCCTGCTTTTGCAATCCCCTGCCCCTGTCAATTTCACCATCGACTACTGGAGTGGCTCCTTCCTCGTGTGACCGTCGCGACCTCCCCGTGACAAAATGTGACTTTTGTTGCACTTCAGGGAATCTGAACCGGGGTCTGAAAAAGCGGTGCCTTTTGAATTGGGTTGCCACCCGCCTTTTGGGTTGCAGTATTCTGCGGCTTTCACAAGTGGTTCGGGTGGCCATCTTTGATTTGCTGTGTACCTACGGGATAGAAAAGCAACAAACCCCCCCGCCACCCCGGTCTTCTGCCGGACAGATTGGTTCAACCATGGCGCTGATTGAGGCCGGTCAACACGTCCTCCGCCATTTTGGGCACTGCCTTCAACTCTGCGAGCACCTCGAGCAAACAGGGACCCATCCCACTGTTTTCAGTTGGCTCAATGGCTTAACCATGCTTCACCCACAAACCTGGCGGTGTGTTTTTCTGGCTCATCCAAAACCAAATTTAACATTCGCCTAAATGGCTGAACCCAACGTAGCGGCTTCCCACTTGGGCCTTTTTGGCTTCCGTCTAACAGGTGTCCCCCGTCTTCCAGTTCCATTTGCCAGTATTGCAGGTATCCAAGGCTACCTACAGCAGCAATTGGGATCCACCGAGTTTGAGTTTCCTGCAAATTGGTTTGTGTTTGGTTTCGTTTTGGCTTCCTCCCCTGTTGTTCTCCCTCTATTTGGTTTCCTTTTTGGCTTCCTTTCCCCAGAAAGTGGTTTACCAAAAGAGGGTTCAACAGGGGTGTTCATGTCATCTACCACCCAGGGTTTCGAGCAGGTTTCCCACAACCAACACCAAGGAGCGACTCAATCAAGGCTCGCCCAAGTCGCCTCTGGATGTGACGTGGGGTTTGCGCATTTTCCGCGCACTAAACATCAGAGGAAAGTCAGCTGCAATTAGTCGAAAGTATTCAGACTGGCTGAGGGCTTAACATATATTATGCGAAACACCCTTCAACACCAGCGAAGGCTGCTTATGTAAGGAAGACTCTTCCCTTGAAGAGCTGGGCTCGTTTCGCAGTGTTGGCAGACTTGCGCAGATGATTCATTCAGGCTTCTTTCAGACTTCTACATTCTTTCCGATTGTCTGTGTCATTCCTCCTCTTCATCCTTTTTCCATAGTATCATACATGTTTCATGAACCAAACCTATGCCAACACTCAAGTTAATTTAAACCATAGCACCAGAAGCAATGATAAGTAAAGTGAAACCAAAACGACGAAAACAGGTGCAGTGCAAGAAAACACCCATACAAAGGCTCTAGGCAATGATTTTTCATCATCTCATCTCTGAAGTGCTCAATCATGTCAGTCAACAATAAAACACATGTCTTGAAACAACCTCATGATGTTCTCCCATACATGTTTAATATGTCCATATTGAGTTTGCTTTGTCACACGCACTCCTCATCACTAATGTTCTGCTCGCATAATTGAATGTAAACCATTTCTTTTGGGTACCGGCGAAAGGGTATCAAACAGAAGCACAAAATACCTCTTGTGCTTCGCCTACGCATTTGATTTCTCATCTCTACTGATGCGCAAACTCTCCCCGTCTGTCAACTTACAAGCCAGAGCTAATACTAAAACATCTGCTACGCATCTTCCATCTCTCATCTCAATCTCAACTCATCTGCAAATCCCCTTCGTCTGTCAGCTCACAAACCTTGGCCTTCAATACCAAAACATCGGCTCACATCTTGTATGCCCTAACCAGTGCCCAGTTGTGGGCTAAAACGGTTAATTTCCAGGAACGAAATCGGTTCTGCACAAAACCTGCTAAAAAGCAGGCAAAACACTGGCAGTGACGGTGTGTTCTTCACAATCCAGGGGTAGGCGTGGATTTATTGAAGTCATTTTTTGTCCCAGAGCTGAACTATCAACTGTACTTGCCGCGCGCAAGTCCAAAAGGAAAATAAGGTGCACACCCAAACTGGGTGAAAGAGCGCCGATACTGGATTCAAGATCTAGAGTCCTGGGAATCTTGAATCTTAACTGTTAGATCCAAAAGTGCTTTAAAGCTCTTTAAAGCTTTTATCGGCGGATACAGTCACAGTTCAATGTACAAATGCGACACAAAGTTGGGCTCGGGTGTGGGGTGCCTGAAAAGGGGGGGGTGGAAATCACCCCGAAGCACTGTGGGTTGTCACAGTCCAAAATTGGTAGGGGATTCCCTGATAGTATTCGGGCTGGTCACAAGGGGTCGCCTATGTTTGGAACCCAAGTGGGAACGAACAACATTGACCCTCGCAGTTACTTCAATCCTCGAACAGGTTTGCAAAAGCAAGGATCGCTGATTATCGGGCGGCCCTCAGCTTGTTCAATATGACGTAATGAGGCAGGAGGAGGAGGAGGAGGAGGAGAGGAGAGGGCAAAGGAGCGGAGGAGGCAATGGTGATAATAATGATGATGGTGATGTTGGTGATGGTGGTGATGATTGATGATGCTCGTGATGATGGCGATGAGCAGAACGCATGGCGCAAATGCACGCTGATTAAACATGAACAAGTAACCTTTGAATTCACAGACTCTTTTCTGAAAGACAAGCCTTTGGCAAGGAAGACTTTGTGTGAAGTGGCGGTCTCTAGCAACAAGAACAAATATACCCGTGTTCGGCATACCAGCGTTGAGCAACATGTAGAAGCCTGGTAGCCAATGTAGCACCACACCGGGGTCACTGAATTTTCCACCGAAACAATCCACTTGAGGGCAAATCCTTCAGCAAACTGCAGCTGTTGATACTTAAACAAATGAAACATGAGACCTCTGTCATAGCCTTTAACCAATACCCTGAGTTTTTTCGCGAATTGCAAAACACGGGGAGCCGCGGCCAAAGTGTGAAAACTTAAAATGTGTGGGACCGGAACCAGAGGTTGAATGAGTTGATCAATTCCTGCTTGCGAAAAAAGAAGATCCAAGCAGTACATGCGGATTTCTCTTCAGCTGTGTTTCATATAACGCCAGTAAGTGTTCCACGGTCACCCTAGGTTGACTGCCCCAATCAAACCTGACTTACGTTGGCTTGAAAGGCGGTTAAACCCCGAAGGGGAAATCATGGCCAGCACCCAGGCCCGCTTTTTGCATGGGATTTTGGCCATGATTGACAGAGCAGTTGTTGCCCCCGGGTGCTGGAATTGGGGACTTTGTCGGCAATTCCGTTCTTGTCAAAATGGGGGTCTTGGATAGAACGGCTGGCTCCTGTGGTTTTCATTTTAAATACCAACCAAAAGGGGAACCACCACATGGCTTTGTCGTTTTTGAGGTTGGACCCTCCTGTCTGCAATCAAAACCACAAACAAAAGGCCCTCAACAAAAACATGCTCATCTTGAAAAACTCGCTAGTGAGTCGCCCCGGTACCTTGTCGACCTGCTCGTTCAGCGCGTTGAGCATGGTAAGACCACCTCAACACAAGTCCCACTTGGGTACGTCTTAAAATAGGGTGTCCCAAAATACCACCATTCCTTCTGTTCCTTTACACATGACAAAAGGGTACCCCAAAAAGACACTCCACTTAAAACGAAATGTAAAGTGGTCAGGAAGGAAGTGAGACCTGGTCAACGCCGGCCAGTTTGAGCATCGATCACATGTCTACGTCGCATGGATGATGACGCCAGCTCAAGGTGACTTCGCTGAAAGCAAAGCAAACAACAATACGCTTGTGCAAACAATGTTCTAAGATTTTCTCAATACGGATTCAGACTTGAGTGCTGCCCAATGGCCCTCAGGAGACATGAACATAACTCCGCGTTTGGTGGCGGCAATGCCTGACAACCCCTTCATCTGAGTTTTCAGCACAAGAACAAACATGCAGAATCTGACACATGGGGGGGGTTCCTCGCCAGTTGACCGGCCAAATTAGTTAAGACTTTTCGTGCGTTGACTAAACATAATGCATGAGATGCGTCAAAATAGGGGATTGGGGCCCCAAACTGGTGCCTCTTTCGCCTTCAAATCCACCCCAAAACGGGTACGAACTCAAACGTACAGTAGGTGCGCACCCAGCGCTAACTCAAGGGCCGGAGGACTTCTCAAATATTGGACCCTCATGGATGGGACTCAGTTTACACGCGGGCTCGTTGAACATGCCCAGCAACACAGGCCTCTGCGCCTGTCATGATGTCATGGGGTTACCCGCTTTGGTTAAGCAAGGGGAAGCCAACCTTTAATGCGCACCCCACCATTGTGTTTCTGGCTGAATTGCCTTGCCCGCCAGCCTGTCCAAGGGCTGCGAAGCAATCTACAAGTGAACCTTTGGATGTGTCATGAACCCCAACCCTCAAAGTCTAAAGATCAAGGATATGGCAACCGCCTAGAACACACGCCCACACACACACAGGTTTCCTCGTTTGAAAACCTCGCCAGGTAGCTGGAGGCGAAGGCCTTGGCCTTCAAAGCGTGCCACAGTCCCCAGAGTCCATCGGAAACTCACAAACAAAATGCTGCAGATGTACGGGAAAAAAAGGGGGAAGCTGCTTGAGATACATTGAATGATGAGTGGAGGGAATGAGTTCCTTTTGATACTTTGCAGAGGTGGAAACACGCATCAGGAATGGTGCTTTGCGGCTGCCCTTTTACTCTGGGCCGACGTTACCGCACTCTACTAAGTAGGATCTGTGCGGTGCGTGTCCACCAAAAACTCAAGCCTTGTCCAAAAGCCTGAAGCCCGGTTGCCGCAACCTCGCATATGCTTGACGAACATGGACACCAGAACACTGATTCTTTGAGTGGTGTGTGGGGCCTACCTGAATACTGCAGTTATGAAGCTGAAGCTACCACCTCACTTGAAGCACTTTGGTTGATTTCAAGTACTGCTCTCGCCGACGCAATGTATTCCCAGCGACACAGAGGGAATCGCTTTGATTTGCAACTGAATGGCGTCATCCTCTCTCAGGAAACAGAGTACGCCTGGCACCAAGGGAGTGTCGCAAGAACCAACAGCTCGCCGTCCCTAACGGGTTCCATCTGGGCTGATTTGATGACAAGAAGCCCACAAGAAATGGCTTCGCAGGAGCACATCTGCTTTGCCTTATTTCCAGAAGCACATGAATCCTTCCCTTCGACAGATAGCCATGCTCAAATGTCTCTGGACAGTGAAGCTGATAGCATGCAAATTGGTGCGTGTTGGCACCCGCAATAATTGGTCAGTCCCCAGGCGTTGGCGGACCATTCAGTGTCTCCCCCACCTACGTCCCTCTTAAATGGGCCATAGACTACCAATTTGATTCTCCACAAAACCCATCCATGTAATTGGTGTCCTTTTGCTTTCCATCTGAGTAAGAAGCAAAGATTCACACTTTTGCCAAACTTCGGGCCCAAACTCCTGGTGTTTCCCTGGGTTGCCCATTAAAAGCATCCCCCAAAAAAAGGTACCCTCCAAGATGTGGCACAACCAAACCCTGCGACAGGCAACCCCATCAACGAGAATCCAAAAGGCGCATATCCGCACACATGTCTGCATCTACCAAGTCGATTGTGGTCTACGGGGTACCATTTTCAGGTTGGTTCAAAGGGAAACGGAAAGGAAACCACTTCGTTTTTGGTGGGGGGATATTTTAACCACAAAATACCCTCAGTTGTCCACACGTCACATGCAACGTCCGCCTTGTCTTTCGATTCGCTCACCTCCTTATCCATGCCCTGGATGGAGCCTTGCACGGATCGGACACCAGGAACTTGTGAGCCACGCTCAAAAAATGTGTCTTGCCCTGGACATAGGGAACGTGTGAATTGCCTCTTGTGTGGAACATGTAGTATATGGGGTTGGCTCAAAATTGGGGAACCTCCAAGATGGTTTCCTCTTGGTTGCCTTGAAGCCATCCAAGGGTACTGTCCCTCCCAAAATTGACAGACTGGGATTTCCCCTGTGAGCACTCGTGCGCTTTGACTTCTGTTGCTACTTCCCCGCTTGAACTCTTGGTCTGGTCTCCCTGGTTTCGCGCTTCCTCCATTCGCGCTTTGAGCGCAAGAACGAACGGACAAAGTTGCCGCCGCTTCGCCAGTACCGCACAACCTCTCAGCCACGCGCTGACCGACAGCCTGTTTCAACTTCAAATAGGCTGCGGCATGCCACACAAATAGGAGCCCAGCACTTGCAGCAGCGCTTTTTCCAACCCGAGAGTTGGCAGCAACTCAAAGTCGCGATACCCTAGTCCTGTTTTCCTGAGCCACCTGATGCCATCAGGCGGCTTCCAGGTCTCGTGTGTTGAACGCGCGAATATCAGACCAAACATTGTATCATGTCGCTCATACTCCCTTTGGAGCAGGTAGGCCGTATGATATTAAACCTAAGGCATATCTTTATACGACCAACACAACACCGCGCGAGCAAGTTGCGGCGTATCCTTCATTCTTTTGCAGTGGACACCGCCTGACTGATCCCGGGCCGGCCATGTCCATCTGCTTCAGGCTTCAAGATCAAATCTTCACGTTCACCGTCCAACACACCTTCAGTAGGCCTCTGAGGAATGGATTGTCTTTTTTGAGATGCAAGTGACAACGGTTAGAGCCCTCGGTAATAAAGCGCCGCAGCCTTCCAAGTGCTGATTGCTATCAAGGCTTCGTTTATATTCCACCTCAGGTTGCAGAGAAAGCAGTGTAGTTCGTAATGGAAAACAATGAGTGGGCCGTCCATGACCCTTGGTATCACCAAAAAGAGTGGCCCTCAGCCCACCCCCCTTCTCCCCGTTTTCCACAACGACCTTCTGGTTGTCAGCCCAGCAACTCTCCGCGGTGATGTTCATGCGCTGGATATCTCCACCAACCACCTTGTCTCCAACCCCACTGCCCGAGGCAAACCCAGCACTTGAGATTGGTCTCATCGCGTACATAAATATGTATGCATACACATATGTCACATATGTATATATAACATAATTATGTATACTGTGTACAACCTTATGTGCCATGCACATTCGATGCCCGTCAAGTGATGTCTGCAATATCGCCAGCGCATCTCTTTCGAACAAGATCGAACAAGTACATTGACTTGGACATTCTTGCAACAGTGCACCGGCTTGCATCAACAAACATCATGCTTCGGAGACGGGACCACTTGAAGTTTCTGGGGAAAGACCACATGACGTGCGACAATTCTGTCAGTATGTGTCTCAGATTATTGAGGTTGAACGCAAATTCTGCAAGTAACATGATGAGGAGCTGTTGAGAAGAGCAATGCTGCAGAAATGAGGTAAACAGGTATGTAAGCGCAGGATCAAGCAAGAAATAAGGTAAACGGAACTTAAAGCCCCAAAGAACACGTTGCCAACGGCCGAGAAACCCAGTTTAATTGTGAAACAAGAAGTGAAGCCAATTCTACTTAGACCATGCCCTTAAGGCGCTTGCCCCGTCAGAAACACAGCACAGCCAATGTGTGGTCCCTTGGATGATCTGAATGTCTGACGACATGCAACTGCCTCACATGGTGTACTATACAAGCCTGCGGTTTGCCGCTGTGTAATGTTTTCTTGGTTGTCCCTAAACATCGTTCAATCACAGATAGGGCCGGATCCTAACTGCTTGTGTGACGTACATTCAAAACGTAAAGTGCCCAAGCGCTCTCTAAGGAAGTGTTCTTGCGTGACGCACCTGGCCAGGAAAATTCTCTGCACTTAGAATATCACTTACTCATGAACACGCGCATTTTGATTGAGGCTAGTACATCATTGTTTGACCATCGCAGCGGCCATAGGATCGCTTCATGTCAACCAGCTTGCCAAAGGCAAAGATACACTGACATACCCTCTTTCCAACAATCACACACGTGGACAATCGGAGGGTTTTGGAAGACTGCAGTCCGTTTGAAACGGCCCTCCACTTCCATTGTTGGAACATGGGTAACCTCTCCTTCGGTGGATTGGCCAATCAACAAGCTATGCCATATGAGTGTGAGTTTTACTCGGGCCCCTTTGGTGGACATCATTTAGCTGGGGATTCGTGTCCTCCAACCACTGAGTCTCTGCAAGGGCATGGAAAGATTCTGACCCTTGGTCCTGTTCTTGGCAACCCCAGTCACTATGGCTCCTTTTGCTCTGAACCAGAATATGAGACATTCTCCAATGGACCCAGTTGAGAGGACGCCGAATGGAACCAGGGCCTTCTCATTTTAAGAGAGAGCAATTTACAGAAACTTCCATTGAGATGTTCTTAAAGGCACCGGTCACCGGTTCCTACTTTGAGACCCGCCCCCCATATCTCGATGTTTTTGGGTTGCCTCCAGGGACTTGTTCACCTGTGCCACGGCTTGCTCGAAGGTGTCCAGCGCCAGGTCCTTTGCGCCCTGGGTTGAACATCAAATGAGCTACCCCCCAAAATCCCGACTTGCGGGTTGTCGGCCCGATTCCACTCCAATACATATCCCTTGTACCAACCTTTTTGGTGGTACACATCAAATGCTGGCGAACATTTACGTCGACCAACGTACCTTTGAGGTGGTCTCCTATTTCAACTAAGGGCATGTAGTAACTGTAGTAGTTGCCCCTAACGGGGCAAAGAGGTCCGAGCCGTCCAGATGCCAGACTTTCAGTGGCCCTGGCCAAAAAAGGGCACCCGCTTGCTAGCTGATTTTGGGGCACACTCCCTCCAACAGAAACGAGGAAGCAACCCAATGGGTTTCTAGGACAAACTGTCAAAGCACCTTGCGCCGCTCAAAAGCCTTGCGCGCTGAAAGGGCATGGCGTTCCCCCTTTTGCAAGGGACTTTAGTGCCGTTGATCAGTTGGATTACAACCCTCCTTTGTAAGAACACGCCAACCTGCCTGTTTCAATGTGGATCGCGCGTGTGGTTGCCTCTGAGGGCTATATTGCGCAATCCGAACACAGGCTTCATTTTCTTAACTTGTGAGCATGAGGGCGCGCGAAAACTGCGCACACGGTGCGGCATTTCGCCTGCCAACAGTTCTATCTGCAAGTTTCCCGGATTTGCCATGCAGCCAAACGGTACATGCATGTTTTGGCGCCGCTCCGAGGCTCCAAGTCATTGATCCCAACAGCTGTTTTGCTGGCTATGGCAAAACACCCCCCTGCCTGAACGGCATCTGTGCCGGTCTTCACGACCTGTTGAGCTTCCTGGCCAGTGAATCAAGGAAAGGAGTGCTGGGTTCTCTCGATCTCTTCGACTCTGGATCTGTTCGACTACTCAGCAACACCAAAAAACAGCTCTCAAACAGGGCCCCCGCGTTGCACCAGTTAAGTACCAGGCATCATCTCTCTTCTCCTATGTGCTGGTATGTCCATACCCATGGGCGCAACGTGCTACAAGAATTCATGAGCACAATTGTACCGCCTCTGTGTGTCTGAGTGCGTGTGTGTGTGTGCGCATAAAAACGAGGGAATGCAAACCAACACTCGCTGCGTGCCGTGTGAAAGTGCTGGAAAACATGTTCTTCCAACAAATCATATAAGGGTCTGTCTCAAACTAGGCGCCCCAACATGATTCTTTGTTTGTGGTTCTTCATGAAACCAGCGTGCATATATTTCCAGATTAGAACGGAACCACGACCCAAAAGTCCAATATCAGTTCCTTGTTACATGCAGTAAGAGAATTGGTCAGTATTCATTGGGTCGCTTGATATTTTGGTGAGTGCAACCCAATGCCATTCGCTTGGCTACCGTAGATGGCAACTAATGGTTGCTCTTAATCCCATGTCTTCGTGGGGAACCTCCCAACATGAATATGATTTCCATTCGCTTCCCTTCAAACCAACCCCACAAAAAAAGGGGGTCTTTCTCAAAACAGGCCGTGCTGTTTTGGAAGGTGTGTCGAACCGGAACCAAACGCAAATCAGCCGTTTTTGTTGGGTCCCCCATTTTGAGAAACAAACCAAATCGAAAGGGGACCTACACAACAAACAAACGGAAACAAACAAAACCAACCAACCAACCAAACAAACCGAAACAAGCAAAACCAACCAACCAACCAACCAAACAAACAAACAAACAAACAAACCGAAACAAGCAAAACCAAGCGGCCACACCAGCAACCAAAACCCAAGAAAGAAAAACAACAAACAAGGCCAAACCGAACCGAACCAAACCAAACCAAACCAAACCAACAACCAACCAACCAACCCAACCAACCCAACCAAGCCAACCAAGCCAACCAAGCAAACCAAGCCAACCAAGCCAACCAAGCCAACCAAGCTAACCAACCCAACCAAGCCAACCAAGCCAACCAAGCCAACCAAGCCAACCAAGCTAACCAACCCAACCAAGCCAACCAAGCCAACCAAGCCAACCAAGCCAACCAAGCCAACCAAGCTAACCAACCCAACCAAGCCAACCAAGCCAACCAAGCCAACCAAGCCAACCAAGCCAACCAAGCAAACCAAGCCAACCAAGCCAACCAACCCAACCAACCCAACCCAACCAACCCAACCAACCAACCAAGCATCCAAGCATCCAAGCAACCAAGCAACCAAGCAACCAAGCAACCAAGCAACCAAGCAACCAAGCAACCAAGCAACCAAGCAACCAAGCAACCAAGCAACCAACCAACCAAGCAACCAACCAACCAACCATCCCAAACAAACAAACCAACCAACCAAACAAACCAACCAACTAACAAACATACAAGCAAACCAACAAACAAGCCAAACCAAAGCAACAAACACAATCTAGCCAAACCGAAGAACGCTCGAACAAACAAGTCAAACCAAACAGGCCAACAAACAAACAAAACAAAACAAGAAACAGAAAGCAAGCAAGCAAGCAAGCAAGCAAACCAACAAATAAAAACACATATATGTGCAAATGCTCTTCGTGGCCTTGGCCGCATTGGACACGGTATCTCCCAGACTCTTCAGATCCGGGAACTCCTCTTCCATGACCTGCCGCATGTCCTGCGGGGCTTTTTCTCTGCGAAAGTACAGCCGGGCGCAAACGACTTTCGGCATGTCCAAAGAATCCAAATAGCTAACCCGTAGTTGTAGCGGCTAACCTCTGAGAACAAAAACGTTTTTTAACCACGATCATTTGTTTGAACCATCTCCTTTTCGTTCTTCAAGGGACCCATCAGCTTTTGCACAACCCTGATCGCAGCTGGATCTTCGAAGCTTGCGACGGCAACAAACAGAAGCACGGGTGTCAAACGTATTTAGCGCAGCCCAAGCTGCTAGCTCACCTTCCTGGCCTTGTTCATGATACAGTGGACAAATCTGCGCTGAGTCGGTTCTCTTTCGCAGGAATACATTGTGCACCGTGCGGTGGCTCAGCAATCCAATGACTCAACCAATTGACTCCTTTCATCAAAGGACGCGGACCAGTCACTGGTGAGTCGGTGTGTCAGCGTTCCTCCGGGAAAGTTGCTGTTTGAAGGGAACAAATAAAAGTCACCATTTCAAAAACCCTTTGATACATGCCCTTATAGCAATGGCGCAAGCGAACGGGATGGATGCAGAGCGTCACTTGGCCACTACCCCGCCGCGCAAGCTGGCGAGCAATATGCCAAGCAAAGATGCGTCAAACTACAACAATGCTTTACGGCCTCAAGCCGGCTCCAAACGTCCACTTTCATGATTGCTGGAAAAAGGGGACAGTGCACTTCACTTGTCATTGACCAGAACCCCTCCAACACATACATGTCAGCAACCCTTGATACCCATTCCGGACTAGCTGTTGACGCCTCTCTCCAGCTCGTCACCTTTCCTTGCAACGGAAGAGCAAGGCAAACTGTAACAAAATCCATACTCTGAGAAGCCACGGGAAACAACGAGCGCCCGTGTTTGCTTGTGATGATCTTGGGGAAAGTCCCCTTCCAAAAAACAACAGGAGGGCACTTCTAGGTGTGTAGCGGGTACAAGTGCATGACTGACACTCGACGACTAGACGCCACCCCCTCAAAAGCGCATGGCAGCCGGATTTCCAACAGCGGCATAGTTTTGATGCTTTGGTTCTTCTCACCTTAGTAAGGAGCGACCATCAACATATGAAACACTCATATGCTTGCAGACATTGATGACTCAACTTGCTTGTGAGCTCACCAGTTCTCATACACACATCCAGCAAAATTACTACAACCATGCCGATATGGGGACCACTCACAACCAGTACCCAGCAAGCTGCAGAATGGCAATACTGTCCATTGATTATGTGGTCAAAGTCAGGAGCCTTTTCTCTTACCAAAACGTCGGAAGGAGCAGCGCTTCGGACTTCGGTCCCGCTTGAACATGGCACTGCTGGCGGACATCAGAAGGGCGAGGATGACAAAATGCATGGCAGCCTCGAGGCAAAGCGTGTCAACATAGGGACCCCGAGTGACGTCACTTCAACTTCCCGTTTTTCAACCACTCGGCGGGTACCCTCGAAGCATCACTCACAATACTTGTGCTATCTGATGGTCGGATCAAGATCGCTCCATCGCTCCTTGGCTCCCAGAGCTTCATGGATGTTTGGTCGATTATACAATCATAATTCCCATCGAGGGCATGGGCAACTTCCTACCCGACATGAACATGCTAAGGTCAATGCCTGGTCATTTGTCCTGAACCAAATCTTGAATCTTGGCTGAGTGCAAAGCCCCCAGATGTGATCAGTGAGGGTGGGATCAAGGGGTTGGATAATCCCCACTTCTGCCCTTTTTTGTCACAGAAGTGGTCATTTCCCACAGCCCTGGATGTGATTCACCTGACCTTGTCGCACGATATCCGTGAGAAGCGTGCCATGTCGGTCCCCGCCAGCCTGCCAAACTCCAAGTCTCTGAAACTCCCTTGGTGTCGTTCCAGGCAAAGTCACGAGCCGCGCCCAAAACTCATTGACTTTGGCTCTAGCATGGTTGTAGAGGCATAGGCCATAGGCCTTGCTATTGTTACCATACATTAAGCCAGGTAAAACCCCCGACTAAAATGGCCAATAGTGGTTTTGGTCATTTCTCATATTGCCGGCCCACTACCTTTGCCCCTTCATCCTTCCTTCCGTGGCGCAGGCCACGTCCGAAAGGCTTTCCCACCAATCCAGCACACAACCCCGTGCAAACAGTAAGCGTGCAAACTGGGTAACAAATCAGGTTATGAGCCACCGTCAATCCCCGGGACATGAGAAATTCAGCCCTGGACCTCCCAACAAATGTTGGCCCTCATATCAAGACATCCCAAGGCAATCCCAAAGATATCTTCTAAACAAAATCCCCTCATAGAATCTTCCCCAAAGACATCCTTTCAACGTCATCCTTCCAAAGACATCCCTCCGTACAACACCATCAAACACATGAAAGACATCCTCAAAAAACAAAGCCTCAATGAGAATCCCACAAGACATCCCATATCCGTAGACGCCCCGGAACAAGAAAATCCGCACAGACAACCTGCCCAAAGCATGAACAAGGAGACCCTCAGGACCCAAGATATTCTGAAAGACATCAATTCCGAAGGACATCCCCAACGAGATGCCCAAAAGAAGGCCTCTACAACAACCCTAGCACCATTTATGGCATGCCCGAAGTGCCCATACGTGCCCCAAGACATCCAAAAGACATGCCCAGGTTGATCCCCAAAGACATCTCCACATCTTAAAGACATTCCCGAAACATCCCCAAAGGCATATTCAAAGACATTCCAATTTCTTCGACTGCCGTCTTTCCATTGGCGCGGCGAACGAAAACGCTATCTCGCGAACACGTGCATGCATGAGTTTTGGATACAAAGGAAGTCGCAGGCAACGGTCACCTCCCGTTGCCCGACGCCCAAACCAAACTACAACTGGGGACACAAGCAGCCTCAAACCCAAGAAGCTCAAGCCACCGAAGTCGCAGTCGGAACTTGCTGGGGCACCGGGCCATGAGTTTTGTTGGCTGAAATGAAAGGCGACCACGGGGTTTCGGTTTCGGTCTCGAGTGAGTGGCTGCGCGTGAGGAATTCCAGATACCAGATCTCAGCATACCAATTCGCAGGCAGGGAATGAGTTGGAATGACCCCTTTAAACCATCCCCTACGGTTTCCTTGAGGGAATCCCTGGGTCCATTCCTTACACCCTGCGTCATTTTCTACTGAGCACCAGCAAGAGTACCATGCCGGGAACCATACCCATAAATAAAGTCACTAGACGCTCACTGTCCGTTTCAGCCCGTCTGAAGTAGCCGGCTTGGAAGCAACTTCCCTGAGCTGCACAGTATTGACTGACACCTCAGAACGTTGCGATGCCAATGGCGACCTCACATACAATGTTTGCTTAGAACTCGGTATTAGAACGTTTGACAAGTAGTTCAATTGCTGACCCGCGTTCAGCCGAGCAAATAACTTTGCTTGTCAAGTTCAAACAAAATCAGCACGTGCATGTTGTAATTGTCTGTTTTGGAAATCCCAACACTTGCCCAAGAAGTCCCTCTTGTGAACGCGCCCTCAAACGCACTGGCATCAGTCGCACGAATGGACTCAACAGCTTGCGCGTTGCGAAACTCTCGTGCCTCGATCGTCGCACCTGCCGGATCTCGAAACGTCAGCGAGCAGTTGGCAAGATCTTTGCCGTGCAAAGCTTGTCATGAACGGCCGTTTTGTACTAGCCTGCTTGCTGAAGTTGCATCACTGCTGCTGTGCGTCTGGAAATGAAAACGCTGTCAGTCTTTGGTGACTTGAATACGTAACGTAACAAACATGTCTTCAGTGCGGGGCTAGCAGTTTGCGGTGGCAAATAGAGGCGCCTGATGCAAGACATAGCGCCACACAGATTTTCCACGACCTTCAGTAAGGACGACCCTCAAAATGATGGGCGGACCAAGTCCAAAATAAATAATGTCCGCCGAAAACCATACTACCCGCATGGAAGTTCCACAAGGGCAGCTTGCTGAAATGCGGGGAGCCTTCCATTGGCGTGAGCCAAGTCCAAAATTTTTGGTCATGTGTGTTTTCACGGCGTGACACCCAGCCAGTTTCTCTGCTTTACTCGGCAACCGACATGAAGATCAACACGACATACGCAATCCATCAGGCACTCTCTTGATTGAAATCTGGATTTGTCTCCAAAAACGCCGAATCTGCCCCAACAAATCATGCATTCTTCTTGGCATCAAGTGAGAAGGCACCCCTCCCTCCATGTCTACACTCCGCCTGCGGCGCAGGCTGCGCCCGAGGCGCCTGACGCTGCGCGCCTGGCACGACGGAAGCGCCGGCTGACTTCGGATGGCTTCGGTTCCCTTGGGTGGATGGGTGGAAGATGTGGGGTTGGATGATGGATGAGTGGATGGGTGGAGTCAAAACAAAACACACCAGGAGTTCAGTGTGCCAAAGACTCCTAGATGGCTTCGCTTCTCTTGTTTGTTGGCTCCTTCGTTTTTGGAAAATCGGGGCACCCGCAACAAAAGCAACCCCTTGCAAGAGGGTAGTCTTCCATTCCATCCACAGGATGGTTGACAAAGGGGCTTTGGAGGACAGGAGGGTTTAACCACGAAATCAGGCAGGAGGGTTTTGGAAGGTTTTCAGAACGGATGTTGGAGAATATCAATCCATCTTATCTAAAACTTGTCTGGTGGCAACGGGTTCAGATTAAGGTTTGTCGGCTTAGTGGGAACCCAGGATTGGCATAAATTTCGGGAGCAACTTTTGAAACTGTCCAAAACAAAGGCTTCTTGCGGAGTTCAACACCAGTTGCTGCGGGCGACCAAATTTGGCCATATCGTGGTCACCGGTGTCCCAGTGCAAACGCGTGCACAAAAGTTGCGTCCCTGAAAGCCCAACATGCAAAGGTATTTTGTACAAGTTGTGCTTGTGCTTGGGCTTGTTTGTGTGTGTGTGTTTGTGTGTTTTTGCGAGTGTGTTCGTTCTTGGAGGCTACCATTTTCCGCTTGGGCTAAAACAGAAAATAAAGCAAACACAAGGGAAGCCGACAATTTTGCGGCACCCTGCCACCCCATTTTGACACACGCCCAAGCACTCCACCACCCCGAAACAGGCCTGGTGGATTGCGTTCTTGCGCCTGAGATGGTGCGTGAAGCGCCGCTTTGCCCAAGGTTCTTTGATCGCTTGGCTTTGCTTAGCAGCCGCAAACAACTTCCCATGGACTGGAACGTCGACTGCAAGTTTGCAAGTAAATGCAAGAAGATTGAGCGCACTGGGACAAGCAGTTGCAGCATGCCAAGTCTTCTGGAAACGTTGCTCTTCGTCTTGTTTGGTGTAGTGCTGCTGCAAGCTGCACGGTCAATTTGCGTGCGGTACGACTTCTGTGCCTTGGGTTCGGCTTTGGTTTGCTTTTCCGTATAGCGGAGTATAGCGGAGTTAAACAAAAACCGCAACACCGATAGTCTTGAGCAAAATACAATTGCTTATATCCTCATGTTAGGCAATGCCGCCCCAAGATTTTGCAGGTCCCGAGTACTGATCACACACGCATGGAGAGCCATTCAAAAGGTCATGGCAACAATGTAGCACCGATGTCATCCTTGAACGCACGTGCAAAAGGGTTGATCATGAGGGAGGCGAGCTGGATTGTTGAGCCGCCCCTAAATCGGTATCGCAAAGCGCAGGAAGAACAAACGCGCTTTGAGCATGTCCCTGCACTATATTGCTGGTGGCGTCTGTAAAACAAGTCGAATGGGGGAGAAAACCACTGTTGGTGCTCCGTAAAACCCAAAAGAGGATTCCCTCAAAACACACACCGCATGTCTCCTGTGCCCTTTCTTGCCTCTGGCTCAGCGATCTGCAGGCCTAGGTGAGACTTGGAAGACCACGGTGATGTGGCCGTTTGGCTTTATCGGCATACTGAGAATGGAAACCAACAGGGAAACCAAGCATCTTTGCAGTCCCCTATTTTGAGCTTATGCTACTTGGGGACTCCAGGTGAATCTTGACCATACTGTGAATGAACAAAAACCGCGCCAGGCACCAGTTGGCAAGGATTGGTGCTATATAGACCAGTATTCGTAGCACATATCCGCTTCGTGACTGGTGCTCCTTCCGCGCCTTTGCAACCTGGCGGGATAGTGCGACAAGGTAACAAACAACACAAAGCTTGTCAATGTCTGGTCGCCCACATTTTTGTTCAAAGCCGTGGCCTTTGGCGTCGTCGATTTGTCAACAGGCGCTTTCATTCTTCAAATGTCAAACCAATTGTCAGGTCGTGACATTTATCGTTAAATTGGACCTGCACTGACTCATATTCGCTTGGTCCAGGATGTGCTTCAATACCATGTTAGGTCTGCCAACAGTGAACATCATAATCCAACCACCAAAACAGGTTCTAAAATGGGTGGTGAATTCACCTACCAACCAAAATGGGATCCCAAAACGGTTTTGACCACCACGGCCAAATGTCTTATCGCTTGGGTGCCCTGCACTGCCGCAGCCGATCACGGATCTCCCCCTCGTCGCTGGAGGCGGACACGTCGGACCTCGAACTCGGGCGAATAGAGGGCAGTGGAGACACTGGGCTTGTCTCTAGCTTCTGTTTGCTTCAGTCCCCTGGGAAAAGATGAGCAAATATGTCCAGTAGTCATGGATTTCCTTCAGAAACCAACAGGGGATAGTATAAAACATACTGCGCTGTTGCGCTACCAGTGATTCAGCTAGATATCACACGCTCGTACGGTTTCACGCACAACTAACCTGACCCAGCTGTGCTGACCGCACTGTTTACCCTGCTTGCACTGGTTACGCTGACTGCTCTCCTTACGCTGCATGCCTGCGCTGGCACGCTGCCTGCGCCCATACGCTGTTTGCGCTGCGCTCTTGACGCTGCCTACGCTGTTTATGCTGCCTGCGAGGTTCATGCCGCCTGCGCGGTTTTCGCCGCCTACACTGTTTGTGCTGTGTGCTCTGCGCGCTGTTGACGCTGCCTGCACTATTTAGGCTGCCTGCGCTGTTCTCGCCACCTACTCTATTTACGCTTGCCTGCGCTGTTTTTGCCTGCGATGTGTTTCGCCACCAAGTACGCTGTTTATGCTGCTTTCGCCGCCCGCGCCGTTTTGCAGTGTTTGCGCTGCGCGCGCTGTTTATGCTGCCTGTGCTGTTTATGCTGCTGTTTATGCTGCCTGCTGCGCTGTTTTCACCGCCTTCGCTGTTTACGCCGCTGGTTGTTGCCTGCTCTGTCTATGCTGCCTGCAGCAAATGTACAAGCGATGCAAGCAGGCTCGGCGGTGCAATTGTTCAGCCTGCAAATCCGTAACTTGGGGTCAGCCATTTCACATGATTGGATGAGTAGGATTCGTTCGTAATATCACCTCAGGATTGATTGATGGTGCCCTAAATCACTTCATCTAGAAGATGTGACCCTAATCATTAAACCACCTGGGTGGGCGACTGACCATTTGGTTGAACCGGTTTCATGATGACTTCACAGACTTCATCCATGAGGCAACTGATGATGTGCTGCCCAACCCTTGCAAGTTTGCAGGGACATCAAATAGAGCTACCCCAAGGTAGGACGCCTCTAAATATGATCGATTTGCGGGCTCCTTCTTTGTCATAACCTGCGATGCCTGCACCAGGTGTTTTTTTTTTAATAGAACCTCCAAAATGGACGGTTTTAGTTCTGTTTCCGTTTGAAGCGTCAAAAGAGGGTGTGCCCGACAAAAGTCACGAACAACCGCAAGTCGCAGTTAGGGCGCAGGCATATCCAAACCGCTGAGCAGCAGCCCATCGGGAATCTCCTGCAACCAGCACACGCCGCAGGCGCGTGGCTTCCGAGACGCAGAGGGGCGACCGTCGAATGTGCCCCTCCAAGGGCTACCTTTGAGCGAACCTTCGAATGTGAAGCCTTGATCAACCTTTGCATTTCAGAGACGTTGCTTAGTTCGCAAAAGATCGAAATCAGCCAAGAGTCCTTCCGACAAGATCGTTACAGCAGCCTTATCGTGCACTTCTCAGCAGAATGCGCGAGAGGACCTGCGCAGCAAATTGCGCAAACTGCACGAGCC